AAAAAAGATGGGTTTTAGAATGAAATTTCAACTGCTTACCCTCTTTCTTGTCCAGAAACTCAGATTAAGGTTGAATTAAACATGTATATTTATATATATATTTCAAAAAAAACCCAAGGACATATTAATTCAGAACATATTATACAGTGCAATTTGGATAGCCTAACCCCAAAATATTTAGTATATATATAAATAAATAACTATAAAAATATAAATCGTAAATATTAAAAATATTTTTTCACAGTATATATAATATATAATAATATAATTAAGTCAAAAACTATTCAATATTAGACTCATTTCGAAGGTATCAACGAGACGATTATAATGGTGTAACTTGTTAAAATAAAAATGTATTTTTTTAAACATGTTTTAATTGATATACGATTATGTATATTAATTTGATAAAAGGTTTAAAATGAAACATTTAAAAGTAAAGGACGTAAAATATATTAATTAACTAATTATAGAGGTATAAAGTGTAAATTTAAAATTATAATTTTAGAAAAATCGGTTCAAGGGTGAGTGTATGTGAGGAGAGTAGGGGGTGAAAAAGCGAAAAAATGACCTAAGGGTAATATAGATAAGAGTATTTTGGTCATTTAGTATTTTAAGACTTTAAGACTTTTGGTGAATTTGCTTAATAAGATAATATATATATATATATATATATATATATATATATGCATATATATATATATATATGGAAGAGTTCAAACGAGAACCCCTGTGATTTACAAGAACGCGAGAACAACCCAATAACCACATATTGTGATAAAAAATAAAATTAAAAGATTTTTAAAATTAAAATTGAAATTGAAAAAGATTCAAAAATATTTAAAATAAAAGGGTAATAATGGAAATGATATCATCAAATCTTTTAAACACGATCATTATTTTTTAAACATGGTCATTATTATCATTAGCCTTATCATTATCTAGTAAACGGTTACAAATTCAATGAGACTCATAACTTCAAATTGCAAAAACAACCGACGGAAGCAAACATTGATCGACGGTGATCAACCAAGAACACGCAACCCTAATCAACCAAGAACCCTAATCGAGAAGTCATTGCATGCAACAAGCGGACAAATTCAAGGTATCTTTCAAAATTACTCGTTTTGAATAAGTTTTTAATCGATTAGTTGTGATACTCATGTGATATCAATGTCACTCGATTTCATCATGGTTTCAATTGGTTATGTTAGATATTATCACAACGATTTTGAATGGTTTCGATAGGTTAGGATTATACCAGGTGTGATAATCATGTGATAGGGGTGTGATAATACCATTATACATCACTTGAGTTATCGTTTTGGTTGATAAGTTAAAATTTTGGTGTAATCATGTAATAGGGGTGTGATAATCATGTGATATGGGTGTGATACTTATGTGATAGAGGTGTGATAATCACCGTTATACATCACTTGGGTTAACGTTTTGGTTGATAAGTTAAAATTTTGGTGTCATCGTATGATTTGGGTGTGATAATCATSTGATAGGGRTGTGATAATCACTGTTATACATCACTTGGGTTATCGTTTTGGTTGATAAGTTAAAATTTTGGTGTAATCATGTAAYATGGGTGTGATAATCATGTGATATGGGTGTGATACTTATGTGATAAGGGTGTGATATGAAGAAAAGATGTTAAACCATCGACTATCTGGAGATTATCATGAACGAGAAGGAAAAGAAGAAAACTACCAAGAGTAAAACGTGGAATGTGAAAGGATAATTATGGTTAATTAAAATAAAATAWAAATTATAAAAATTACTTAATTACATTACTGTTCTTATTAAATTATTTATATATAATAAAAGTTAATTTATTAATCAAAAAAGTTTGAGGTTATTGAGTTGTTCTCGCATTCTCGTTAATCATAGGGGTTCTCGTTTGAACCTCCACCTATATATATATATATATATATATATATATATATATATATATTTATTTATTTATTTATTTATTTAAAAAGTTTGTAATTTAAAAAAAGATATTAAAAAACAAATAGATGTTTTTCTTCATCTAAAGAGGTATCATCTCTACATTTCCCTATAAATCATCTTCCACCCTTTTCATTTCCTTCACACATTTCCTTAACTTTCTCATCCTTCTAATCCAAGTTGGCTTCTTTTCCCCTAAAATTTCCTCTCTTCTTTCTCCTTGTTCAATCAGAAAATTTTCCAATAACATGATTTTGTTTTGGTCAAGTATTTTTGTAGATCTGTAAACATATCGATGGGTGGTGTTGCTGTTCTTCATCCTCAAGATTGTCTAAAGGATCATCGTGATGGTTTATTCTCCACACCGGTGAAATCTCGCCGTTCCCCTAAATCAAGCGTCAATTATTCGAGTTCTACCCCTAATTTGACTAGATATGATGGCCGAAAACGAAGCCCACCAACCAGGGTGCGGAAGAACAACAGAACTACCGCTGCGATGGTTGTTGATCAGCCCAAGCACCTCGTTATGGGACAGGTTAAGATTTTGAAACGTGGTGAGGCGTTGGACGAATCATCGACGGTTTTGAAAGACATGAACGATCGCAAGGTCTCAAACGGTACAGTGACCACACCGCCAAAAGACGTCGCCGGTGATCGAAAGGTTTTCCGAGATTTGACCGGTGCTCGGAGAGTTTTACTGACGAAGAAAAAGCCCGAGAAGGAGAAGAAAAGTTGCTCGAATCCAAGCCTTAAGGTTGACGCTTTGAAGGTGGATGATCTCGCCCTTTCGTCAACAGATCGGTTGGGACCCGACCCGGAGATGGTGTCAAAACAGATGAAGAAAAACATAGCCGAGTTCTTCTTCGCAGGGTCTCCTTTTGTGGATTCACCACCACCAAGCTCTCTTCCCTTGCCTGGTTTCTTCACAAAGAATTTTGTCGATCCAAGCACCGATCTCCGACGGATGCTCGGTTTGAGTCTTTCTTAGTTAAATATCACCATAATTTCGTTCGAATCGTTGATGAACATGTTGTTTGCTTCGAATTCGAACCCTTTTCCCTAATTTTTTATTGGGAAAGTTCGAATCTGGTAAGCAAGCTTGTGTACTTGTCAATTAGATGCTTTACTGTAGTAAGCTGGTTAATAAGTGTTGGTTTATATTGATTAGGGGAACATATTGTGATGGGTAGTCTTGTTTTTCTTCATATAAATTAAGCTATTTTGTGTGTTCTAATACAAAGTAAGGTTAGGGTTATCTGGGTTGTAATGTAATCCAGTTGGAGATGATTAGTTTCTTGTATGTAATTAGATCATCAATTATCTATATTAAACCATATTAATATTATGCTCTTGTTTGAAGCATGTTCTTGTTTTGATGGTTGAATCATCTAATACGATACCGTTTTAGTGGACTAGAATCTTATTCGGTAATTAAATAATAATCTTGTATTTTATTGGTAAATGCTTACCAGATAAGTATCGATATCATCGGTTTTGGTGTTGGTTCAAAGTAGAGGCATCTTTGTTGACAGAAGGATGTTAGCTTGCAATGAAGTGGAAATGGCACCTTTCACTTTGAATTTTATGTTTGTTTGGTAGAGCTTATTGACAAATGTTTATGTGGTGTCCATATGTTTGGTTTTAAAAATGTATGGTGGGCATGTCCCATCATATTTCCAAATTCCCTTTTATTTTAGGTATTTGGAATGGATTGAAGTTGACTTCATCAGGGTTGTAATCGAACACGAACAGAAACTTGTTTGTATTTGTTTATTTAACTTAACTGAACAAATAGGCGGAATTTATTGTGTTTAAGTTTGTTCATTAAATTGTTAAATGAATATAAATAAATAGACATAAACAAAAATAAATGAAGATAAACAAACATAAAATGTAAGGTTTGAAAGACTCGTATCGTGGAAGGGTTATTCATCATAGTGATTTTATAACTTAATCGAGTTTGAAATTTTAGGAGGGGGTAAAAGAGAAATTATAAAAACTTGATTAAAATAATGATTCTATATGTTAAATGTCATAACAAGAAAAAAAATTATATATGTAAATGCCTAAATGGTAGACGGACGTTCACGAAGATAGGTGAACGAATAATACATTTATTCGTGTTCGTTTGTTTAATCAAATGAACCAAAGTAAAACCATGGACCACCCGAGCGTTAAGCTAAACAGGTTCGGTTTTTGTAACCATATTTGATTTAAGCCTAATCAGTCCAACGTTTTCTTTCGATGACCGATTAGGGCTTATTACTGTAAGACCCGGTCTTACATCTAAAAACATGAAATTTCTCGTTAATTTCTAAGTAATCAAAACATAGTTTGGTAGTCGTGTTCCAAAAATACAAGTACAAACAATAATACGTGTTAAAAATCATGTTTGTAATCTTTATTAACTTTCAACATCGATAATCAGCTACTAAAATAAGGAAAAAACACCAAACAGAAGATCAAAATCCACATCTTCAATTAAAACTTCAATTAATCGATCTTGACAGAAGAAAAGAGCCGATGAATGAAGAAGAAAGAAGTCAAGAACCCAATGACAACCGTCGCTAGCATAATGACTATGACCATGAACAACGAATAACCTAGGTATAGCATGGCCGATACGGCCCCACTCAAGCTCTTGAGATCGAAAACAAGATAATTAATTGAATACAAGAAGATATATAATGCAATCGAACCTGATTAAAAAAATGATTTCCACCACCATCTCCAATCCTCAATGCAAAGATGCATATACGTAAGAACTAATACCACCTCAGCACAAACTATCACGAGAAAAATTAGGACTACGAAAAGAAACCCGGAAAAGTAATAGGCCCGCCCGAGCCAAAGGCTAGACATGATGAAAAAAAGCTCGATTAAAAGCATCATGAACGGGAGGGTCCCTGCTAGGGGTGCTCAAAAACCTGATGAACCCGACCAACCCAACCCGAATTTAAAAAAAAAACCCAACCCGAGGTAACCCGATGCATGATCGATAAAAAAATTAGCCAACCAGACCTTATTGGGTTGGAATTGGGTCAGGCCCAAAAAAACCCGACCAACCCGACACCCCAATAAACCGACCTTAACTTTATCTTTGAATTGTAGATGACAATCATGACATGACCAACCTCAACGTCAAGAAAGCGAAAGCATCGAGGTTGGAAACGTTTAAAACTATTGTTCTTGATTGATGTATTATCATTTGGTTTAAACATTTTTATTGTAATATCTAAATATTTGATGAAGTTGCATATTATCTTGAATGGTCGGTCGTATTTCAAAGAAAAGTTTCCTTTATTTTTATGTGATTTTACATTGTTTAAACACAACCCGATTAACCCGAACGGGTTGAGTTGGGTTGCGTTGAACTTTTGTTTGGGTTGGGTTGGGTTGGGTTGAAAATTTTCAAACCGCCAACATTAGGTTGGATTGTTAAAACGGCTCCAAACCGATCAACCCGGGCCGTGAGCACCCCTAGTCTCTACTCCGAGGACCATGAGCCAAGAAGGAAACCTCTGAGACGGGATTTCTCGAGGGATTTGATTTGTTCAAACAGGATTTTGAGGTACAGGGCTTTAGTTGCCACGAATCCATTGAATAACGTCAAGGGCACTGAGATTCCGAACCAAAGCAAGATTAGAACAAGGAATGTCATAAATGGGATGGCTCCCTTGCTATAACTTTCCCACAAGATCGAGTTTATTGTCGTTAGGATTATGAAGGAGCTACTAGGAGAGAAACACACAATTCGCCACAAAATCCAAAACCATCATCTACATTCACCATTTGCAAGCGTCTGGAGGAGCCAAACCGCAATGAAACCGACAACAATGCCCAATAACATATAGAACACAAGCATGCCTGAAAATTTCAATAATCAATAGCAATTCAAATCCAAGTTATTGCTAAAAGACCCACTACAAAGAAATTGGTCTTTCAGAATGCCCAACCATCATTGGACATCATAATTGGGTAGTAAATTGGACTTACATAAGACCAAGAACTGTGTGTCATATCTAGAGGCATTACAATAAGTTGTTAGAACGAACATAGATGACTTAACAAGTTCTATTGATGAAGTTGCACGACCAAATATGATATAAAAAGTTACTAGTAAAACCATTTACTTTTTATGTCATATTAAGTTGTCTCATTTCACAAATAGAACTTGTTAGGTCACCTAACTTCATCCTTTAGCCAGGATGCATGTTTTTGGTCATATAAACTTAAAGTTTCATCAAGTATTCTATGATGCCTTAAAAAGATATATTTTGTTGTAATGATAAAGCAAGTTATGCAGTGATTAGGGATCCGCATGAAGTTGGGGACATGAATCTGAGAGCAACAAAGAAGATCAAAGCAACCCCCATGCAAGAATCCGACAACCGTCAGCCATAATGATACAAAGAAATTCAGGGTTGTTTGGAGATCGGAAAACATAAAAAACAACGGTTTCCACCCTAATAACTCTTCGTTCATCTAAGTATGTGCTTCCTTATCTAACTCCTCATAACGAGCCAAATCTCTACGAATCGTACTCAAGAATAAGGTTTTAATTATAAAAGGCAATAGAATAAGTTTACGGAGCTTAATAATTAGATACATATATACAAATGAGTGAAAGAAATAATATTCTAGTACTATCTGCCTGATTCTACCTAGTCTTAACAGTCAACCTAGAGCACTACCGGATCAAGACCTATAGCTCTGATACCATAATTTGTAACACCCCCATCCTACTAGACCTAAGATGAGGCCTGACACAACCGAAAACGAATAAAAAACATACAGTTCAAAGTATAGAGCTCTAATATAACTCTCAAATGACTACATTACAACCAATAACATTCCTATGTTTAACATATATACATAGAAAAAGTACTGATCTAAAATCTATTCTTTCAGCATCCTAAGCCATCTCGACCATTCATCCTGCCCTCGGGTTAGATCCTGAACCTACCGAGGTAAAACAAAACAAACCCCGATTCAACAAAATTTGCCTAGTGAACGAATAATAACACTATAAATACAAGATAAAATAGTAAATGCAAGAAAAGGTTACAATAAAAGCTGAAATCAATTTAAGTATAAATATCTAAGAAACTTATATAATTAAAAATTCAAGGTAAGAAGACCATCTGTATCATTAGGATACGTTATTCCCGATGGATGATCAGTCCAATGAGGTGTTGTAATGGAATGGAAGTGTCAAGCACTACACCATCTCATTCCTCGGTAACCAGAGATATCTGGTATTCGGCTTTATCCGGTAACCGATGTAATTGGTATTCGGCTCTATCCGATAAATATGGTAAATGGAATTCGGTGCAAGGACGCATCCAACATTCTTAATTTGACTTGGCCATATCTCTTATGAGAATGCCATGATTATTTTAGCCACATCATGTAGGTGTCTCAATACCCGTGCCCCGAGTATTGAGCCTAGTCAAATTAATACCTTTATCTGGGTTACCTACACTTGTTAGTAAAATACCTTTTGACGATTTTCGGTAATAATTATCGTCAATTTCAAGTTCCTACAATCCCTTATAGTTAAAAAAATTCTACGGACTTTCAAATAAGCTTAAAATACCATTCGGACACTTAATAAATACTCCATACGGTTATTAGAACCCTAAACAAAATTTGTAAAAATCCAATTTCTACATACCAAAACAGTAGCTAACAGATTCTTAAAATCTAAAGTTTAAACCTTTTTCATACTTAGATGTTGAACCAAACTTTCTTGTCAAAATGAAAGTTGTAGATATATCTCTTAGGATTTCAAAGAAACTAAACTCACATAATTTGGATCTCTAGTCTAATTACTAAAGAATTTACACTAACATAATGCAATTTCATAGCTGCAGAACAGGGTTGGAAAAACTAATGTTTTTGAGTCATTTAAATAAAGAACTAGGTTTTGGTGTACCCAAAGTTGTAGTAAAATCGTAAATATTTTTGTTGATATATATAACATCTCATTTGAACAAATGGTTGATTTTATACGAATTTTCAAACTTACGGAATTGAATCTGTCACTTCCAACAACACCAAACTTGAAAAAAATCTCACCTCAAATCATCAATCTTCCACCTATGTTCATGAATACAGTTAGGGTTTAACCCCTTTGCCTCAAAGAAGAAGAAATCATGAAAATCAAACCATAAACATACTTTATTTTGAGTCGTAGTTCTAATTCTAACATACAATTTCAAGAATCTTGTAATTTCATAAGAGAAATGAGGTTTAGAAATGAGGTTTAGGGTTATAGAGAGAATGAGAAGAAATCGTATGAACTTGGGAGAGAAAATGAAATCGGATTTTGATTTTAAAAAATAATAA